AGTAACTTCAGATAAAAACATAGTTTCTGTTATAGAAATAAGATATGAAATATGAAACAGACATGTCACACGATGAGTGCACTCTTTGTTGTTCTTTGATAAATGAAACTTCGGTTCGTGCCGTTTCTAGTTCAAATAAAATAAATTGAGTTTCATCATTTTGTTCTGAATCGATTCTTATATATTTTTAATATTTTTATTGATACAGTTCTTTATATTTTTATAGAGATTCGAAAAGGAAATGAATATTAGAAGAAGCAATGTTTGTTTTTAATCCGCTGTGGTCCTGCCTGTAAATTATAATTTAAGGGGTTTACATCCAGGTGGTCGATTCTGTAACTTTTCCACTTTCACTTTCCACTTTCACTTCCCACTCCCACTTTCCACATTCACTTCCCACCTTCCATTTTCACTTTCCCCTGACCACATTCACTTCCAATATTCCACTTTCCACCGTCCACTTTCTACTACCACATTCAACTTCCCACTCTCAGTTCTCACTCCCACTTTCCACTGCCCCAATTCACTTCCCACTTTCCTAATTCACTTCCTACTTTTACTGCGCACTTTCGCTTCTCATTTTTCCCTCCTAATGGTGGGAAAGTGAAAAGTGGGAATAGAAAGTGGAAGCAGGGAAGTGAGAGTGGAAACTGAAAGATGTGAAGTGTGAGTTGGAAGTAGAAAGTAGAAGGTGGGATGCGAATGTTGAAAGTGAAAGTGGGAAGTGAATTTCGGAGTGGAAGGTGGGAAGTGAAAGTGAGAGTGGAAAGTGGGATGTGAATGTGGGAGGTGGAAAGTGGTAGTGGAAAGTGAAAGTGGATCGCCCTGAAATTTTCTGAGTGTTCAAAATCCTAAGTATATGTAACCCCTCAATAATTATTTTGAAAACAGACTAAAACACATCGTTTAGTACACATTGCATATCAAGTACCTCAACTAATAAAGTACATCGATTAATAAGTACAACTTAGTAAATTTGCAAGAAGAATTATTTTGGAAATAAATCGACAACAGTTTGAGTGACATGGAAACTCTTTTCTTTCATGGTTGGTTTTTAAATTTAAATATTCTCCCTCAACATTTAGTAAGCTCATCGTCTGATTAAATTAGGTTTAATTCTGAAACTAATTTAAAACGAGGAACATATGTATATTTAAAAATGTTTTAGTTTTGACTTTAAGTAAATAAATCTTTTATTACAATGTAAATAAAAAAAGTCTTTTGATCATGGTCTATTTGTACTACAAGCGAGTTTGTAATTTTAAGTACTTTAATATGTTCAAAAGTCATATTTTTATAAAAGAGTAAAATCCTGTGTCAGAAAGTATAAAATGAGTGAAAATGAAAGAAAAATTAATTTTGAAACAAGACCAACTAATTAAATTCTGCAAATTAAATCTGAGAATATTTAATTTCAGTGGTTGGCTAAATATTTCCTGGAATACATTTAGGAAGTTCTACAATAAATGGATAAACTTTCCTAATATGTGAATGAAAATTCAAACTTCACTTGTTGTCAGTTATTTTGATAATTGAATTTTGTATTTCTATTCTCACTCAGCAAATTAAAGAAAATTGTTTATTTTTATTCATTTTATTATTAAAATATAATGTCAAAACTCAGAAATAAATTTATTTTTAGGTGAATTATTAATAAATGTAAATCAAATTGTTTCAAGTTGAGATAAAATTTAGATCCTCTAATTCGGTGTGTTGGACACAATAGATACAAGGATTTTCACTCATAAATCTATCCAGTTTCTAGGTCTCATGCACCTGTACAACTGGGATAACAACCAGGAGTGGTTGCCACCGAAATGCGCTCTAACAGTATGCTTTCATTGCTGCGATATCGAAAAAATAACAAATCATGACAAAGTTTTTTTGATTGGATATATGTAAACATTGAAGAACTTTGTTTGCTTTTAATTTTTTGCAGTAGTATTTCTTATATAATATAAACATTGAATTCCATTTTTATTTATTATTTTTTTTAATCTATATAAAGGTTACAAATAAAAGTTTAAAAAAAACTGAAACTATCAAGTAATTAAACACGTAATTTAAATGAACAAAATTTTTATTGTCATTTATCGTAATTTTGACTTTATTTTCTTCAATTTATTTATAAGTATAACAATTTAAATAAAGTTTTATTATTAAATTATAATTATTGTCAATATATTTGTCATAAAGAGATTTTGTTTAATTTTACAGGAGAGATAGAAGAAAATAAAAAAAATTATATAATTTAAAATCAACAATAACAGTCAGTTCCCCTTAGGCTATTATATCCTATTTCAAGTATTAAAAAACATTTCATAATAAATAAATTTTGTTTCCTTTCATGTACGATGCTACTATTTATGTTGGTTTAACGTTTTAGAGGAAATAAAATATAATTTTCGATTTAAAAAAATATAGCCTATATTTAATTTAAAAAACAATTTCACCGGATTTAGTATTAAAGGCAAACTGACAGCGAATATTCAAAAAAAAAGTTATTCTCAATTTTTTTTTAATTGATACGTGACGTATATATTGGGCTTTTATTTACATTGAAGGACGTTCATGTTTATTCATGATTTATAAAAAAGAACATATGTCATGATAATAAAGGGAAATATTATAATATATTTCTCGTTGAGCTTTATTTACATTACAGTGAACACAGTAATATGTCACTCAAATTTTTAAGGATATTTAAAAACGTTGAACGTAAAATTTATTTGGAAAATTTATTACCTTACTTAAATGAATAATAATGTATTTCATTATATGGGATCATATTTCGTGGTCACAATTTTTTTGCTGACCAGTCATGAACCAACATGAACTAAACTTTGAGGATTCTAATTTTAAGAAGGCCGTAAAATCCCTTCTACAATTTTAACATCGAGAAAAATATTTTTTACAATCATTTTGTGAACAACAAATTTTTCTGGAGAAACGTAAATTAAAATGGGACAAGTATATGATGACGTACTGTGAGATGGATTACTTGATAAATTGTATCGTTGATTCATAAAATCGTAGTAATGCTTTAAGAGAAACCGATACCCCCACCAGTTCCGAAGCGGACCAATCACGAGACAGGTATTAGTTTCTCGGGTATAAAAGCAGACTTCCGAATGGCACTCAGACAGTGTTTCTCCAGCTGCCAACAAGAGCAAACAGCAAACAATTCCTGAAATAATTTCCACGCGTTGGTAAATCAAAACAAGTTATTTAACCTCATACTGTCAAAGGATTGAATACCTAATTTCAATAAATTAAATTTATTTCAACTTAGAACGGTATCTTTTTCTAGTGTAAATATTCTCTACAACATAAATATTTTTGTTTTGAAGAAAAACTGTTATGGTAACTATAATAAATTTTCTAAACTGCATTTACCTCAGAAATATTTCCACGCTTCCTTTGATGTGATTTTACATAATCTTATTTAATTTAATAACAAAAGAGAATATACTTATTAAATTGCCTTACTAAAATGAAAAGAGATAATAATTAATTCTCTCTGATAATAATTAAGGTTAAAAAAATAATAATCAGAGAAGGTGCAAATAAATTTTAATATGTATACAGGATCTAGATATTATGAACAAAATTAATTTCTCTTCCTAAATATGAAGATACTTTAGAGGTAAAAATTTTATTCTCTCTTTTTGTAAATATAATTAACGCAATAGCATGGAATATTGTGCTTGGTTATGAAGATAATAACAACTGTCGTATAAAGAGGAAAAGCGACAGAGCGTTAAAACAGTAATGTGGTATTTCAGAATTGTAGTATCCAGCGAGAAGTGTGGATGTTCGCTTGAACTTCCTAGACTAGGAGTAAGAAACGCAATTAAAGTGCTGGCGTGCAGCACGAAACTGGCAAGCTCATAAAACCCCCGAGTGACTTTTCTCGCTTTTTAAACGTTTATCAGGAGCTACCTCTCGTAACCCCTTTGGCGACATTTTTCATCTGCGGTCCATTCGAGTTCAAAACTCTAGCCACGCTGTATTTTACCATACAAAACTGAATTATTTAAAATCCTCTTTACTCTTTTCTGAGAGTTTCTTGGCACGAGATTGGTCTTTTGGGAGTATATTCATTTCGTTTAGTTATGTTTTTTTCCAAAAGTACATTAACTCGTTCTAATTTTTTATTTTCATGAACAGCAGTCTAAATAGTTTCCTTTTTAAATAGGTAGTAAAAGTGTATTTTTGTTTTCAATTAAGGTTAATATTTTTATTAATGTCCATGGCTTAACATTGGGGTTCGTAAAACTTTTATTTTGTAAAACTTTAATCATTGTGTTATAAATACAAATTTACATATGATTCTGGAATATCATCATCTGCAGTTTAGATATAGATATATAGTTTAGTAGTAGAAATTGTTAGAACTTTATTAATTCTTTGCAAAGTGAATGGAATAATAATTATTTGACTATATTAAACTAATTTACATTCCTACCGAATTATTTTCTATCATATCCCATAAAAATCGGCGCTGTTGTAGCTTCTTAATATTTTACTACAGTAAAAAATAATTCCTTTACTTGATTCAATAGATAAAAAACTTTCCAGTAATTGGCGACATATATAAATTAAAAGACAGCTTTCGAAAGACTGTCTGTTTCGTGTACGTGAACTGTTGGTAAAAAGAATTCTAGAACATGATTGCAGAAGATATTCAGTAGTGTGCAATCGAACCTTTGAATTTCTGCTAACTTTCATTAAAACCGGAATTTCACCAATCATTTACTTTTACGATTTTCACGAAAGGGTTTTCCAATAATCCGCTATCGACAATTTTGGTAGGTACAACAGTTGTAATAGACTTTTTATATACTTAACATATATTATTTGCTTTGCATAATTTTGTTTTCGTTAATAAAGAGATTTTGATGCTACACTAGAAGAATTTATTCTTCAGTTATATTTATAACTGTTTTAAATTTCTTCTGACAGAATGTTCCAATTTTATTTTCGTATTTGTGTTGCAGGTCCAAATTTCCCTTATGTCCACAAGCATGGTCTTTTCAAGTCTCGCCAAGTAAGCATTCAAAGTATTAGATTTGATCTCAATCAGAACGAAATCAATTTTTAAGTTACTTAATTGAAATTAAAATTCAAGACAATTAGTATAAAAGATAAATTTATAAAAATACCACCAAGATTTTGTTTTGTTACATAATTTAATTTCTATTTGATTATCTAATATTAAAATTTTGGATAAAAAGTTGATTGTCGACATTATTTCAAGTTTCATTTCTTTCCTGATTTTCTATACTGTCTTTTTCCGTTGCGCAAGCAAAGTTCTAAGGCGCTTAAACATCCACAAAGACTTTTGTGCTTACATACTTATTACGTGTGCTTTGCATCTGTAAGAGGTTTTTACGTAAAAAGGTAACCTTCAACTTTTTCCTTTTTCTGCTAAAGAAATATCTCATGTTCTTGCTTACATTTGAAAACTTCATTGTAATGCAAATGGGAAAAAAATTAATAAATTACGAAATAAGACTTAATGAGAATGTAAGAAAGATTTTTTAAAAAATTACTTTAGATGAAAGAAAAATTTTTAAGCTAGAGTAGAAATAAAACAATGGTCAATTATTAATTGTATTATAAATTGTAACGTTGCAATTCTGCTCTTTTAATTTTGTCCTCGATCATGATGGAAAAATGTGAAGCTCCCCTTCATATTCTATATTTTGTAACTTAAATAAGGAGAAAATCATATGAAACTGTAAATAAACTGGAAAGTTCTTGAAAGCAGGAAGGTGACGGTTTTAGGACCCAATAAGCGAGGGTTAAGACTGAATTATTATAACTGTGCAACGATTTTATAAAATGCGACTGTACCTCCTGGCGTCAAAAAGAAAACATTACTACTGGTCGCTTACCGGGACTTAAAAAATACTTTGGATGTATTTTTAAAAATAAATCTAATTAAATAATTAAAACAATTAGGATGATTTATAATTGTCAATAATTCCCTTTTTGAAAAAATAATTTCTCTTCGAAAATGCAATCAAAAGAGAAATTTATAACGAAAGTCCAGTTGAAAAGTTAACGAAGGTTCGGTAAATAGTGAAGAACGTTGGCAGTTCGCAGTCGCACCCAGGTTTACCTTCATTAGCGATTTCGAAACTCGGTGAATTCTAGGACTCACGCGAGAACGAGTAAATACGATTTGCCACCGAGTTGTACAAAGGAAAAGCACTGAGAATTACGTCGAAAATTTTAGGAGCTTAGTACGACTAGTTAAATTGCTAAATTGATTGTCAGAAAAAAGAGATGAAGAAAGGGCTTTTAAAGTTTCTTCTCTTTAACAATATTAGCATTCTATTTCGATTACGTGAAAAAATCTGAAATTGTCCATTTTTGTATTTTACGATAACGATTAATTAGAAAAAAATTGTTTTTAAACTATTTACCAGAAAACAAAATATCAAGTAATTACAATTGTTTTTCTCTCACGTGCCTCTTGAGAAGTTCATTCACCAAGGGAACTCGACGACAGAAAGCAGGGATTCTCATGGGGTAGAAAGCATGAAAGCGTGACACAACCCCAAGACTCGGCGGTATTTGTAAAGTGAGTCAAGATAGTGGTGTGAGGAAGGAGAGAGAGAGTGAGGGTATTCCCATTCCATATACAGCGCAAAGAGCATTACACTTGGGGTATTTTATAAGAGGAAGGTTTGCTCAAAATAGCACCTTAATACTTTATGTCGAGGCTCGTTTCTCACTTCTTAAGCCATGTATCCTTCCTTTTCTGTCATTTTTCCTTTTTATCCTTGTACTTCCACCATGTCGTCTTCTTTTAACTTTCAAGTTTTATGGCCTATTTTTACTGCGACGACGATTATCTAATTGCTTTTCATATTTTTTTAAAAAAGAATCTAATTTCTTTAATTTTATGGAACTTTATGAAGTTTTAATCTGTGAAAGCGTAAAAAATATCAAAACTCTAAAAAATTTTGACTGCTGTTAGTCTGTAGTAATTGTACAGACAATTAAGAAATGAAACTTTGTCATTCTAACGCAAATTGTTTGTAATTAGATGACAGGAGGAAAATTCCCATTCGTTCTTAATTTCCGCTTTCTAGACTAGAGGCAAGTCAAAAATCAAGTTAGGACGAACAATGTCGAATGGGTAGAGAGTATCTACTTAAGTATTTAATCGTTTTGGTAGAACATGACATTTCGGTACTTAGATCCTTTTAACCATTTAGTCGTTTGCCTCACTGACGTTAAAGAATTTTGATTGATGACAAGTGTCATCATGGTATTTCAACCAATCGCGACCGTCATCATAGAATTTTAACCAATCGGGACAGTCATCATGGAATATTCAACCAATCACGACCGTCATCTTGCCAAACTCATCCAAAAAAAATTAACTGTTTTTCTATTAGGATTTTGTAGAACAGTTTGCCAAAGATTTATCAAGTCTCGCGTCAACAGGAGTAAGACCCTCTGTTAAGTTAATATTCTAAACATTATAATTATCTTAGGATGTCGTGATCAATTCCCAGTAAATGAATTAACCCTTAACACCATCACTGTGAATTAACTCTAAAGATATATTTAAATTAGAATTATTAAAAAATATAGAGAAAAGTTTCACTAGAGTAATCTATTATCGATTACTGAAGAATCGAGGTTCTTTTCTGGGCTGAATTCCAGAAAGAGCATTACCTCCAAAGACTGTATTTTCGCTTATCACGAATGTACTTTAATGTTCGCTGCCAAAGTATGAAATTGCTTTAAGTCATCTGAATTATTTTTGACTTTGTAAAAAGTCATTTTTTTGTTAATTTATTAGGAGTGCATGTAAGTGAATATGTCAGCAGAACAAAAACAAAGTTAAGCGAAATGAAAAGAAGCAAGAAAACGGCTCGAAGAATAAGGTTGAACTATTTACGATAATTTTGCATAAATTTGATGTTAATATTTCACTGGAGAAACACGACTTTACATTTAGGAGAAAGGAAGGGAAGCCCAATCTGGTACGAAGATAGATGTTGTTATGTCTCAGAATGAAACCAACATATCCTAAATTATATATGTATAAATTGTCCGGCATCGGTGATTCAAACCTGATTTATTCACAGAGCGGAAGGCTCTGATATTAAGGGACAGAATTTAAGAAAGAGTGACTGTTAAGTTGAAGTTAAATTATTAAAGTTTTTATTTGAATCCTTTACAATTAGAATCAGAGAGAAAGAGTAGATCCAGATGTCTTCAGGGATACTGAAACAAAATTAGAACTTTGTGGAATCAATCGAGAATTGAAATGGGGACAAGATTTTTAGAGTATTAGTAACTTACCTTTTAAAACTATTCTTAAAGGCGTAGACCCAACAAGCGATACCTCCATTAGAGTGAGGTCGAAGAAATGACGTTGTCTAACGGAAACAGAATATGCAGTAGATTTCCTTCGAATTTTTTTGGGGACAGCCAAAGTGAAAGGTCCGGAGTCCAGGTGTCGAATTATTGATTTGACGTTGAAGTCGAAATAATGCAGTCTTTAGAAAATTAGAAATGTACCTCGCAGTAGAAATTATCTCCTTGAATGAACTTGATAAATACGAGATTTAAAGAATGCACTTGGTACTTGAAGAGATTTTTGGAACTGGAGTCGAAGAATAAATTCGATGACAATACACAACTTGTTAACTTGGTGGCGGTTTCTGGACTGACACGAAATAGACACGTGGGGGTAGTACACGACTACTTAACTTGGTGGCGATTCCTGGACTGACAAATTCGGCAAGAGTGGCACCTTTTATAATATTCCTTTTGCAAATGAGATGACAATGTGATGATTTTTTGTTGTAATACAATTATACTTATTGTATACTTATAGTATGTGAGAAAACACTGCTCAGAAAGGAAATAAAATTTTGCAAATTTAAATATGATTTCGCCTTGGCTGAACGTATGTTGTCAAACATGTTCATGGGAAAGATGTGACATAGACGGATTCTGCAAAGGAGGTTGGAGGGGGATTGCATATGACAGCAGGTGGGTTTTGGTAGTCCAATGTCTCTTATAGTTTTTATATAACATATGCGAAACGTGATGCTTTCGATCTTAGAGAACTGCACGTAAAAGCACGTGTGCACACCTGTACTCTAACTTTTTCATATCCTTCTGGCGGCTTCAAACGTGTCATGGCGTTCCCTACGTGAGTCGTTTGCCAATTTTTGGGAATTCGATTTGAATCTCAAAAAAAAGAATGCATCAGCAATTTCAAGTCCCAATATGTACAAGATTTCCATAACTATTTTTTAAATGCATCTGTTATCAATGATGATTGACGACGAACATCTATAATGTTAGAATTAAAACATCATTACGCGAGGTGCTTCTCACTCATGAAATAGCACCATATTCTGATTCAGATTTCGTAAAAGTCTGTCACTGAACGCGTGTGCAAGGAACTAGGTAAAACGCTCAACTTCGCATGATTTCGTAAAAATCTGTCAAGCAATGTTTAAATGAATCTAACGGAATCTTAAGTGAGAAGCCCCTCGTCATTACATAAGCTCTAAAGGAATCCTGTTTCAAAATACACCAGCTTATGAAAATATTTACCGTAAAAAATTAATTGAGCCTTAATGAATTAAAAAATTAATTAAAATAGGAGCCCTATAGTCGAATTTCGTGATATAATAAATTTGGTATCGCAGCGAAAATTCTAAATAGTTTTACAAAAGAAAACCATGTTACGCTATATATCACAAAGTGGAAAATGACTTATGACTCTACTTCGAATTAGCCTCGATAACCTCAGTATACAATTCAGAGAGGCTAACGTTTGATATGTAAATCTGGCAATTATACAGAGTAATTGTGGCAATTACACAATTATTACAGGCTTAGAAACCACCTTGAGGACTATTAATTTCATGACTGTCAAAATGTCTCTGAATTAATATTGTGAACCTGATGCACTTGTGTCAAGACAAAATTATAATATTGTGAGAGAAAAATAATTTGCGTATTTATTTTGTTATTTATTAACATTTCAAAAGTTACATTTACATTACTCATGTAATCAAAACAAGAGTGAATTTACTATTCAGCATGCTATTCCTTGTTTTCCTTCGAAGAATTATTTCGCATCTCGGTTCTCCTTGTTTTCGCCTCTGAGGTCGACCTCTTGACCACTTTCTCAAAATTTACAGTCCATATTTCTGTTAAGAATTGATAGCGTACATTTCACTGTTTACAGTGATTACTTTGGAAAATTTTTGAGGAACTATTTTGTGCTAGTAATTTTAGAAACATATTTCGTTCGATAGGAACCATTTCAGTGATTGTGGGCTGAATTTTGTGAATTCAAGCATATCAATTTGTCTAAAGGTTGTAAACCCTTTGAATATGTGCAGCAATAATAATGAATAATTCATTTATGCCAGGGCATCTATTCTTGTCTTGGTTAGATCAACTTTTAAATAATAAAAATTTTATCGAAACATTAGTAAGTGAATGTATTAATTCGCATAAGAAATACAGTGGGGCAAATGTATTAATTTAACAATAAATTAGGTTTGTTCGATAAATAAGAAGTTTGATAATAAAGAAGTTCTTAAAAATCAATGAACTGATATTTGGAAATCTTCAAGTTCTTTTCTTAAAGCTTACAGTATTACTTGCATCAGAATTCAGTGGCTAGTATGAAAGTGTTTTGTCTACAGGTGTGACGGCAATTTTCAGAAATGATGCCCGTTATCAACCTGGAGTTCAAGCGTGTCCAGACGATTTCCCGAGGGTGTTTATCTGCGATCCGCTTCGGCCTTTTGAATCCTCCCACCTCCATCTACCATTCCTTTTCCCTCAGGTCAAGATATTTTTCTTTTTCTTTCCATTTTACCTCTGCTTCTTTTTTATTTTCTTCTCTACTACTGCCTGGTTTTCTTTACTTTTCTCAACTCACTTCCGTTTCAATTTTCCTGGAATTTTTCACATTCGATCGATTGCCCTCTATAGGGTAATTGGCAGCTGCCAATTGAAACATTTCAAAAGAGTATTTAGAATCAAAAGATATGTATTCAATTAAAAGTTCTTTTACAACACTTGAAATCCTTATTAAAGAAAAATGAAAACTTTTTTAGCAATATAAACAAAAATTTATAAAATGTTTAATTTTTATTTCGTTTTCTATGTTTTGAATTTTTTATATTCATTTTTTTTGAAAACAAATAATGTACGAGAGAGAAAGAGAGGGTTTGGCAGAAGGCCAAGAATGGTATTTATCATCTAAATCAATCATTCCATCTCCAAGTCCTTGAGTTCCATGCCGGATCACGTACTTTTGGTCCTGATCTTGTAAGGAATCCACTCTGATGAGCTGCACTTCACAAACCATGATCTATATACAGTAACTAACATCCCCTATCTTCGGTCATTGCTCTGAGTACACGAACTATTCTGCAGATTCAATTCACATGTCTCTTCATGAGTAGAAGTGCATTAGGTACTTGAGGAATTCTATTTTGTCATGTGTCTTCAAGTATCTTTTAGATCCGTCCTCTACACCGTACTTTTGACAAACATCATTAGTTCTAAAAGTACAGATATGTTGTAGACGTTAAGAAATAAACTAAAATTCTAAAAGTAGAATAAAAATAAAAATTACCTTAATTTGCAATTTGATTCATAGGGATAACAAAAGCAAATCGTAAGTTTATTAAATATTCTTATGAACCACGTTCATATAGTAATCTACTGTTGACAATTATTTAAATACAATTATATTTATGTGCAAAGTATAAATTTAACTAATGATGATATTCATGTGGTAATAACTTTAAATTTAGATTAGGTTATGAGGTATCTATAGATTTTCCACAATAATTGTGTACACAGAAATATAAAATGTTATAACGCATAGAATATTTATTTAAATAAGTTGCGTCAAGTCTGATGTCTAACCAATCAAAACTAAGTATCAAAATATTTCGTGTTTTTTTTTTAACTAATAGGCTTAAATTGTAAGATTTGAAGACAAAACAATGTAGTTTCTATGTAAATTTGATCGTGTTTACCCAGAAGGGCACATGTTCTCTGATTGCAGGCGACGCAGGGACATAATGTTGCGCGTGCTGGGAGTTCGACTGTTGTCGAGGCTACTGGTCCTTGTCTGTTCGCTCTCGTTGCTGTCACTCCTCTTCCTCAGTCGCTGTGGCTTCAATAATCTCGACACGGACCTCATTGACACTGCTGGTGAGTTAAAATTACAATCCTTAATTAAGTTAAAAAAGTAGTTTCCAAAATGAACTAATTTTTTCATTCTCATCATATTTGTTTGAATATTAACGGGACAGACCATTTCGTACGTTTAGTATTCCTACAATCTAAAAGTTACTTAAGTAACGTAAAAAAGATACAATATCAAGGTTGGCGCGTTAAAAGTTAGAGTTTGGTATAAGTCTAAATAATAAATTTGTTTCTCTGCTGAGTCTATTAAGAAATTAGTTGTTCCTTTACTCTCTTTATCTCCTCCCTCTGCATCACTGTTTTGTCATTCAACATCCTCCAGTTGAATGACAAGTCAATCCCCCAGTCCTTAAACATCCTTTACTGGATCTTTAACGGATCCTTTATGGTTCCTGTACAGGAATATACTTGAGGAAACCCTGCAAAATCCTTTACGGATTCCGTACAGGATCCTTTTTACAAACAAGTACCTACAATTTATAAAGGTGCAAGTGTTCCTGTATAGGTACCTTTACATGAAACATTGATACCAATGTTCCAACACTGAAACCTACATGGGATCCTAACAAGATCCCATGGATCACCGAAGGACCCATCAGGGTTCCTGTATCCATCAGGTTCCCTTCAGGATCCTGTTAAGGGACTTAGCTTACAACATTTAGCAAATGACCCATCAGGCAAAGTAGAGGTCTGCATTGCACAGCAATGCAGTTTCGTTTACAAGAGTAAACAAAACTGCTTACCCTTATTGTATTATAATTAAAATTGAAAAAATCCTTACACCTCAACATTTTCTTGTAGTCCTGCATTAAAAAAAAAGTGTTAAATGTCCTATTGCAGGGGATAAAAAGTTGTATTAACACATCGCCCAAGTGGGCGTCAAGCTTATGCTCCTGAGCCGATTCTGAAAATTTAGTTGGAACTCTTCCAGCTTTACAAAAACAGCTGACACAGCTGGGACTTGAATTTCAGGATTCACAGGAAATCCAAGCTTTTCCAGGATGCCGCCATTTCGTAGGGTCGTCTCATAAATTGCGACACCCTCGTTGAGACGACAGAACGGAAGTAAACAGTGACGTTAAGTAGCTCCGCAACAAGATCTCGAGAGAGTCTCGTATAATTGTCGACGTCATAATTTTCCTTCTATTATTTCCTGGTCTCATTACAAATTCTTCTCTTCCAAGTGACAATTACGCGAAAACTTTCTCCTAATTTATCACTGTCAAAAAAAAAGATTTATCATTTTTGATAGAAAGAATTTTTTTTTTTTAAAGCAAAAATGTAAAGATAATACCAGAAATATTGCTGTTTTATAAGATGACAAAAATTTATCAAAATCCCTACTTTGGGAGACTTGGAAATAAAGCTTTTTTAAATGAGGAAAAAATAAATTAACTACAATATTAAGACCACTTTGAATTCTAAGAATGTGTCAAGAAACAATTATATTCCTAACTGCATGATGAATTGTCTAGAATTCTTAATTGCTTAATCCGGTGTTGGTTATCTCCACAAGTTACTATAACTGATATAACAGGCGCTGCGGAACTCTGGTAAGATAAATGACCGAGGATCAGGACCATATTATTTAACTCTCGAGTTTAATTAATGCTCTGCACCAACCATGCTACTCTTTACGTTTAATTTGTACAATATTTTTGAATGCATGCAAATGGTAAAATATCCACTATCTGAATAGACGACGTTCATTGCAATTACTCGTTCCTTTTTTTTTCTACCCACTTTTTAAAATCAATCCTGCTTTTAATGTAAATTATTATCATCTACCTTTTTAATATTCCTTAATTTATATCAAATATTGAGTTAATTATTCTATTTTAAAAAATTTTCTTCTTTTTAATAAGTTTTAAAATGAATGGCATATTTCAATAAAAATGGAAATGCAATTACTAATTCTTTTTTCCTGTTTAAATTTTCTGTTTTCTATTAAATTGTCAAGTGAGATTAAAGTTGATTAGAGAGCTATTCATTGTCGGAATATTAGAGTTGAGCAAATGAAAAAGCGAGATCGTCTTGTCTCTCGTTTTCATTATGAGATTCCAAATGTGCTCTCTGAATTTATGATCTGCTTTTATTAAGCTCGGAACGTAATATTACAACTCAACATGTTTTTTTCCTTTTTTCTTCAATTAACGTTTGTTCTGTATTTGTTACATCTATGAGCATTCAAAAATATGTGATATTAATATAATGATGCTACACATAGATGTTGGATTTAAATGTCATAATTAAAGAATTTAATAAAATTTTTATTTTAAATTCTTTCAGTAATATTTTTTTACTCATCTAAAGCACAGTAATAAACAATTATTTTTAATAAATTATACAAATAATACATTATTCATACACTACCGTCCATAAGTAAGTGGACATACACCTGTTACTTTAATTGTTTAAAAAATGCAGTAATTAGGGTCGATTCTGCAACTGTTTCACTTTCCACTTTACATTTCAGTTAAAATACTTTCAGACTTTTCAAACATATTATTTAAATTTGTCTCATTTTTTTCCAGAGCTGCTGCATAAAATGTACACTCCACTTTTTTTTTAATGTTGTGCTTTGTTTTCTTCTACAAATTAGAGATAGTAAAATAAAAAAAAAGTTATCGACAACACGTACCATCGTGAGAAAGCGAATGTAAACGTAAATTTTCAATGGTGCTACAGGGAATTTTTAAATTAGTCAGTGGCGACAAGCGTTTTCGTGCTTTCACATTGATGAATAAACCCCTTCAAAAAAAAAAAAAATAAAAATAAATGGTTAAAAAAATAAATAATAAAAAAAGAAATACATTACTGTGGATCGTCGTGTTTCGGTAAACAACAGAGGCAACATTTTCCCCGTTCCCAAGGAGAGTGAACAAATTTTACCTTCTCTCGTGTCATTGCTTTTCTCTCATGAGATTTCCGGTCCCTGTCGTCGACACCAAAGCAAACCGGAAATTGAAATAGTTCAATCGATGTTGATCTGTCAACATTTACTTTTCACAAAAATTCCTCTTGGATGATATTTGAAACATTTTGTAAAAAATCAGCTTCATATGAGAAATTTTAAAATTGTTCATTAAAAATATTTGGTAGAGAATATTTGATAAAGAGTAAAAGAAATTTTTATGCAACGCATTCAAACGATTTGTTATGTCTCAGAACAAAATCAACATATCCCAAATTAGGATTTATTTAAATTGTCCGGCATCGGTGATTCAAACCTGATTTTTTCACAGAGCGAAAGGCTTTGATATTAAGGGAAAGGTTTTAAGAAAAAGTAACTGTTAAATTGAAATTAAATTATTAAAGTTTTTATTTGAATCCTTTACAATTAGAATCAGAGAGAAAGAGTAGATCCAGATGTCTTCAGGGATACTGAAACAAAATTAGAACTTTGTGGGATCAATCAAGAATTTAAATGGGGACAAAATTTTTAGAGTGTTAGTAACTTACCTTTTAAAAATATTCCTAAAGTCGTAGACCCAACAAGCGATACCTCCATCAGAGTGAGGTCGAAGAAATGACGGTGTTTAGCGGAAACAGAATATGCAGTAGATTTTCTTCGAATTGTTTTCGGGCCAGCCAAAGTGAAAGGTCCAGAGTCCAGGTGTCCTATTAAATTGAAATTAAATTATTAAAGTTTTTATTTGAATCCTTTACAATTAGAATCAGAGAAAAAGAGTTAATCCAGATGTCTTCAGGGATACTGAAACAAAATTAGAACTTTGTGAAAGGTGCGGAGTCTAGGTGTCGATATAAAATAGTTGAAACACCCCTCTGCCTGAGAGTGATCGAATTATTTATTTGACGCTGAAGTCGAAGTAATGCAATCCTTAGAAAAATAGAAATGTGCCTCGCAGTAGAAATTATCTTCTTGAATGAACTTGACTGAGACGAGACTCGAAGAATGCACTTGGTACTTGAAGAGATTTTTTGGACTGGAGTCGAAGAACAAATTCGATGACAGTACACAACTAGTTAGCTCGGTGATTATTGCTGGACTGACACGAAGAATACGCGAAGTTGATTTGAGGGTGACTTCTGATTTTGTTAAAATAAAGTTTTAAAAAACTGTCCACTTTTCACGCGTTTAGGGTGGCATAAAATCATTGTATAATTCCTTTTGTAAACTTATTTTCAAAAAATGTTTCCAACTTATTTTTTCAATTAATCAATTTTTATTGAATTGAATTTATTAAAATTAAAGTGTATTTACTTTGAAATGTATATTTTAAGTTTCTCTGCAAATATTGAATGTCCATATCGCCTGCCGTCTCAATAATGCAGGAATGTCAATTCTTCCACACATACAAAGGATATTGTCCAATATCGAAAATCGATATTTGAAATTTAACATAGGAGAAATTTGATCTAGCTTCAGTAATATTACTATACTTTAATAAAATTCACATTTTTACCTATCTTATTGAAGGGTAATAATATTACAGCGAAATTTATAATTTAAAACACCTTGGTTTTTGAGAAATAATTTATAAATTCTAAATTAGGAAGATTAAAGTAAGCATTAATTATTATCCAACTTTAAATTTCCATTTATTACGAACGGTCATTGGAAGATAATCAAAAATGAATAATAATTAAAATTTAATTTTACCTTTATTCAAGGATTAATGAAAAATCTTCATATATATATTATTTCAATTTTATGTTTTATCATGTGAATAAATTTTATTAATAATATAGTATTGTTTTCGTAATTTATTTAAGCGAAAAAAATAGAAAAATGTTTTCCAGGTCACCTGCATAATTTATCTTTTGGTTCGGATTGGCTGTTGATAAACTGAAGTTTCAATATTCTGAAATCACTGGAAGGGAAGCAATCGTCGTCTCGAAAGTTCGCAATTTCGTTGCGGTACATCACATCTAGCGGCAATTATACCGGATATTGGTTTAGTTGAACTATATAAATTTCAGATCTATTTTACCGAACATTATCAAATATTGTCATTTATTTAACGTATCTATAAACATGAAAA